AAAAGCACATCCGAATGACGAAAATTTGATTCTATTGAAACAGCGGGCGCACTTTACTTTCACACCTTTGCGCTAGTAGTGTCCGAAATAGCAGCAGTAAATTTTTCGTTCTGAAAAGTCAGGGAAGTTCAAAGCAAGCCAATGGATAATTCTCCTATCCTGTAGCAAAACTGGAGTAGCAGCCGTATTTTTGTGTCCAAATACTCCAAATACTCGGTCAGCAGCGCTTTTCTGGAAATAACTCTGAAAATTCTTCAATATCCAAATAATATAGTTTGAAAAGACAAAAAAATGTGCTGGTGGGAACACGTAAGATCAAAAAGTCAATACAGACACTCTGTGGCTCAGCTAGCATGCAAGTTTTTATTTTCTTCGAAATCGTGTGGATTCCTATTCAGAGGTGGGCCTGGTCATGTGTACTTACTTTCTTGAAGTCTCTTAAACTATGTTGCTTTCGCACACCTCTCGTAGTGCAAACTTGCCGTCTACTTGGCAGTTTGTTATCTTTAATTGTGAAATAAACACGATAGGTAAATTATACAGGATCCTAGAAAATCGAGTTCGCTGAATCCTAAAGGAAAGTTTGTGTTATTTGGTTGCTAATCCTATTGAAAGTCGCAAATCATAGCATTTTGGTACGTCTTAATTTGTAGGTGGTTTGCTTTGGTTAACACATATCGCGTTTTGAAAGAAACGTTATAGACTGAGTCTGATCTAACACTGTCGATGAGTATTATCATACTAAAAAATAATTATTTAATACGATTTATCAGGAGTTTCATTGCGGTTACAACTGAATATGAAAACAATTTATTTTTTTATTACGGATTGAAATCTATACTCGTACACATCTGCCTTAGACTGACTTGCGACGTTGATAGACGGAGAAGATGCTGCTCATATAATTGTTCTATATCTGCAATCCATTCTTCATCTTCTAAACATGCTGAATAAACTCCTTGAATGTTGCCTATATGTTTTAATGTTATATGCTCTTAAACTCGATTTCAACCTCGGTGATACCTTGAAGATGTGGAATCACAACTAAAACATTTACCTTTTCTGCTTGATGTTCATTACTCTTTTGTTTCGCAAATGAGGATTATTGCATATGCTTATGGTAATGGTGTATGAGCTCAAATATTCTGTGCAAAACGAAAATTAGCTATTTTATCTCCAAGCGTCCCTATGAAAAAGAGTGCAGATTGATCGCAGATATCATCAATGCATCTTATGGCTATCGCTTTTGTTTATATAAAACTGTTCCTTAAACAAAACTGTTAACTGCAGCTTTGGGGCGACTGAAACAGTTATTAGATGAACAGTTGGTAAGGAAATTAGTACTTGATCACCCTAGAGATCAAATGTTACACAGAATTCCTATAGAAATCTTAGGGAATATTTGCAAGAATCTTATGAACTTTTTAATAAGGCAGGCGATGGAATTGCGTAGAATATTGATAAGAATCTTATATATATATGAAACTGGTAAGATTCCGATAAATAATTTGAGTATAAGAGTATAAGCAGTAGAAATTAATTTAAATATTTTTGAGTATAAAACTGCTACTAAAATTATGGTAAATTTTTAACAAAAATCAATTTATAGTTTATTCGACACTTATTATCATCGAGTAAAACAGAAAAGTGAAATACAATGTCTCTATGTATAGTTTGATTACCAGTTAAGGGGGGTAACCACCCCCGTTTTTTTTCATAACTTTGTAGAGCGCATCAAGCGGTATATACCCTGAAGTGCTTTCGATGAACAGACTTGTAATTGCTGAGAAAAGAAATTTTTACGAATTTCATACGATTTTGACCCTCTATTTAAAAAATTTATAAAAAATTCAAAATTGAAGCTGGAACTCTTATTGTTACGCAGTTCGACAGAGCACCTTAAGTGACATATACCCACAAGTTATAATGAAAATTGAACCAACGGTGTCTGAGAAAATTAACATTTTTCATTATAGTGCAGTTTGAGTCCTTAAAGTAATTTTTTGAAACTTATGCACGCATTTCAAAAACAACGAAGCATTTTGAAGAAAAATTTTCACTAGCAAAGTTGTTCAGGATAATGCTCTTCATACTCCAAGCGGAGCACTTTTTTCATTTTAGTGGAAAAATTTTGAAATAAATTACAACTAAAAACTTTTTAGCTTTAAATTTACTTAAAATTTGTGTAAATTGTATTTCTTTCAAAATTTTTCCACTAAAATGAAAAAAGTGCTCCGCTTAGGGTATGAAGAGCATTATCCTGAACAACTTTGCTAGCAAAAATTTTTCTGCAAAATGTTTCATTGTTTTTGAAATGCGTGCTTGTTCGTGCACCAGGTAATAAAAAAGTCGAATTTCCATGCAAGAGCGATTTCATCTAATATAGGTTTTCGAATTTTTTTCGGAAAACGAACATTGCCACGAGACTCAGCGTGATGGATAACCCAAGTTTCCATTCATTTTAGAGATTACCACAAATATCTGTTTACCCTAAGGAAATATCTGTCCTGTGGCTTCGAGAAAATCCGATGGCGCTCCAGAACTACGGAAGATTAAGAGGTCGCTTAGATTCCATTTTGTAGAGAACATTTTACGCTAACATATCTATATGAGAAATGCAGGAGGCACTCTGGCAGATCTTGGAATTACGACCTACTCTTTCGTACACTAATAAGGTATATCACCTGCAGGTGGTATTTTCTGAGATATTTTATGTCAACTTGTAACTAATTATCTTCTCTATGCAATGCTGAAAACCGCAAGTCTTCGAAGTGCACTGTTCAAAAGTTATTAAAGAAATAGCCACCGGCATTCGTTTTTAATAATATATGGGCTGTTAATTAATATAAGAGTCTATATATGAAAAAATCTCGAAAAAACCCCACATCCATGACAAATTAAAAAACTAAATACAGGATTTTGTAGCGCTTGAGCAGCTGATTCAAATGATGTATTGTTCGTTATATTTGAGCAAAAGAGGTTGAAGAAAAAAAGAATGCAAACGACCAGACTACACTGAACTTGCATCGGTTTCAGAGAAAAAATTTATTAATAGTCTATTAGGTAGATATTTTTTCTTTCTTTTTTACATACATAATAACTATGAATAATTGTGCATCTAAACATACTTGAATCACATTTTTGCCATTATCCCTGAATGACTTATGAAATATCGAAAATCAGCCGCTGACGGAAAATTTTGACCAAAGTCCAACATTAAAAAATTCATAATTCCACCAGTATTCATAGGACCGCCGAAATTTCTTGAGGATACATAGTACTCAACGCACTCTACAAACTGGCATAATTTAAGGGCAGGTTTATAGGTGGTTACCCCCCTTAATAGAACATCGATAAAAAAAAAGAGAGAACAAGAAAGAGCGAATAATAAAACTATTTAATTTAAATTTCATGTCATTTAAGAATTTTCCTTGCATTTGATGTGTGTAAGTAGACTTTCTTTAATAATTCTTCGTCACCAGTTTGTTTCGAGAGCTAGACTTCCATATCGTGTAAAGTCAAATGAATGTTTTTCTTTATTAGCCCGTTTAGCCACATTCGAGGATTCAGGTTTTTTTTTGTTTATATCGCTATTGATTCTTTTCAAGTAAGGCCTACGAAAAAAGCATTATAGGCCTAGCTCTGAATACTGAATAGAGTATGGAAAAGTAAAATATAATACAGGTTGATAATATAATGAACAACAGAAAAAAGAGAATAGAAGATGTGAGGTGATAGTGGCCCGGGTCAGATGGAGTGGTAGTGACTGACAATTTTGCAAAAAGGGGTGAAATTAAAAAATAAAGTACTGCTAGTTTTAAATCTCTTCGTTCCCCTTATATAGCAGTGGACCTCATTCAAAACAGTACACAGTATGTCCTCATCCAACTGTAAATTATTTAATAGAAAAGTGTCTAGTGTAATTTCATTTAAAAAATTCACCTTCTGTTTTAATAGATTTCTCTGAATATTATACAACGAATAGTTGAAAAAATAATGTACAATATCCTCCCTCTCACCTACTCAAAGTTGAGAGGAAAGTTTTTTATTTAAAATCGATGGTCCTCGTGCAAATTTCAGTTGTCTTAAATTATACTAGTTCTATCTTGTAAGACAATATTTCTCTACAAAATGAGCTACGAAACTTTATTTATAGCAATTTTTTTCACAAATTTTGAAGTAATTCAACTTTTTAACTATCAAAATTAAACTTAGAGTAGAGTGAAATGAAATAATAAGTGTCTCCTATCGAAAGCTCGAATAAACCATAAATTGATTTTTGTTAATAATCTACCATAATTTTATTAGCAGTTTTATACTCAATAATATTTAAATTAATTTCTATTGCTTATACTCAAATTATTTATCGGAATCTTACAAGTTTCTTATATATATAAGATTCTTATCAATATTCTACGCAATTCCATCGCCTGCCTTATTAAGAAATTCATAAGATTCTTGTAAATATTCTCTAAGATTTCTATTATTTCATTTCACTCTACTCTAAGTTTAATTTTGATAGTTAAAAAGTTGAATTACTTCGAAATTTGTGAAGAAATTCGTCCCATGGCGCAGTTTGTTTTGAAATTTTTTGTCATGGTACCTAGGGCTATAAATAAAGTTTCATAGCTCATTTTGCAGAGAAATATTGTCTTACAAGATAGAACTAGTATAATTAAAGACAACTGAAATTTGCACGAGGAGCATCGATTTTAAATAAAAAACTTCGCTGTAAAAAATTTCAAAAATTTCGTTTGATTAAACTTTTGAAACTCAGTTTTCATTTTAAAATATCAAAAGGCCTCGCATTTGGTTTAATTTTATGTACTCTTTCGAATGAAATATTAATCGATAATAGCGGACAGTATCTGACATCTAAATGTCCCAAATACTAATACTGAGCATTTTTTGGAAAACCGACATACACATTTTTTAAAACATTACAAAAAGATCTCAAGAAGTACAAGATTCAAAAGGCTAAAACATTGCATTTATCAATTTTAATCGCTTAGTTTGTAAATCTCGATTTCCAACATATTCCAAATCGTTCCCATGCCGATTGTATCAATATAAGTTGGCGACTGAGGCAGATCCAGATAAAAATAATCATTACCAGTAACAAGCCCCTTTGGAGAGTTGGCATTATGTGGAACATGAAGATCGTTTCGTCCGAACGACGGTCCTTTGCCGATCTGATGGTACACGGAATACTTGGATTCGTTTGGATCAATATAAAATTTTGTCGGTGGAATGTTCGAGGAATTCGTTAAGGTAAATAAAAATGCCCGAGGATCTTCACAATATCTTCCAGTTATAGGCGAGCTCCAAGGAACAGCTGTATAACCTCCAAACAGATGACCGTCCGTCTGTATCACAGTGATTGTCGGACCCTGTCCATCACAACATTGATGAAAATCTCCAGCACCAAATCCATCGCGTGTTGCTTTATAAATCAGCTGCCAGTTCTTTCCACGCTGAGAGCAAAATTCATTTAACTTTAATTGATCTACAACGGTTAATAGCGTTCCATCGCTAAAAAATTTCAAAACAAAAAAATTCATAATTTCATATGTCTTTTAAGTTTTAAAGTCTAAGTGCAAAGTCCAAGAGAAAATTAAGCTGTGTTTGACTTTGACCATAAGTAAGCTATATTTATTAGTTTTCTTAAAATTAGACGTGCTCTTATCGAAGTTAGAAAGCTCCCTCCCCCACCCAAAGCAGAAGGATACACAAAGGTTCAGTCATGACATCGAGAAATACTGTAACACGGTTAAAGAAAAATTGTTGTTAGTTACTAGATGTAGACTATGACTGAAAAAACACACTACAATTTTTTCTTGTAATATTTTCTTACTCGATAAATGGAACACGGGGCTTATCTGAATAAAGCCGATGAGAATAATTTGCTGTAATAGTGAAAATGTTCTTATTCTTCGATAACTCTTGAATATTAAGATGAATAAAGTTCTTCTGCGAATCATTAATTGTATTACTTGGAAGCTGTAGCACTTGAAAATCATTAAAGGTGTTAAACTCAAGAAAATTCTCTTCTATATCTTTTAAGGTTTGTTGGACGGACTCTTTTGTGGCATCATCACTACGTTTCTTCAGTTGAACTTTTGTTTCTTTTTTCAGTTTTTCCACTTCTCTTAATCGATAATCTTTCTCATTAACTAATATAGATTGCCCTAGTGCTTCAATTTTATATTTATGCATCGTGTATATGTCTTCTATCTCCTGTACTCTCCGGTTTCGCCACCTCGTTAATGTCGTTACCGGTTCTCGCACGAAGTCAGCTACACCATATTGTTTTATTTTCTCTGCAAATTGATTGATTTCCACAATCAACGAATGATATTCTTGTTCCACAACTGAACTTGCTGGGCATGTTCATTAATATGTTTTAAACAGACCTGTTTATTACAATGTTGACATAGTGCAACGGATGGAAAACCACAAAACCGACAAACTTGTTTTGATGATGATCATGCAGCAACGATGGCCATAGATTACAGGTCTGCTACGTTTATAACGTAAAACACTTCCGTTTTTTTACTTGTAAATGAAGCAAAAAAGAGACAAATAGTTTCTTGTGTGTATCTTTCAGTTCTATTCTATGGGAATACTTTTGAATTTTCTTTCTTTTTAGAATTGTCATCGTCTTGGTTTCTGTATTTATGTTAGAACAAAACAACAAATTTTAGCGTTGTTGAGTACACGATTTTATCGTCAAATTACATCAAGTTTACTTTAGTAAAGTAAAGTTCCGTATTTTCTTTTTACCGAGAAAAAAAATAAATTGCCATTTCTAAAGAAAGTGTATGAGAAAATGCTAGTTTTATTTGCGAGAAAGGAAATTTACTGTTGCTTTACTGACAGTACATGTTTTCTACTATTTAGCTTTTAGTAAAAATAACTCTTTTTCCTTACTTCAGCGGATAGTTTAAACCGCGCTATTCGTATTTTCTGTGTAGATTTAGATATGTTTTTTGCAGACGAAAGACTTTTTTTTCGCACATCATTCGATGCAGTTTAAGAATATTACGTTTATTTTGATTAAAAATGATTTCAAAGAGGAAAAGGTCGAATTTGAGTGAAAAGCGAAAATTGTTTATTCCAGTGCCTGTTGATTCGTGCATATTTGTCCTAACAATACTGATTTTGAGCGCATCGGCATACATTCTCATCAAATTTCAAGCAGTTAGGGCTTGTGCAAAATAATGCACTTGACTTTTACTGTTGGCTGTTTCCATTTCCTATCTGCTTTTTTTTTATTGTTATGAAAATTTTCGATTTTTTGAAATCTCACGTTGCGCGAGAAAATTGTAAAATATTTCCGTTTTGGAAATCCAAACATCTGAAAATATCTCTTTAAGACCAATAGAACAAATTAGATATCTGGTAGACAAGACTCTCACGGAGCAAAAAACTCTTTCACAAAGAAAGTGTGGGATGATGTCGTTTGCGAAAACTTTTAAACTGTACGTACTGGTTTTTTATTTAAGTTTCCTGGCAGAAAACAGAGTTTAACTCTTTTTAATTTGTAGAATTCGCTGAGTATTTTTTAAGTACAACCATCATTTGGAACGAGCAATGGATATTAAAATATTTTTCACAGTCAATTTACAACTATTATAGCGGTGACAGCACTGAACACCTCCAAAGTGCTCGAAATATCTAAAATCAAGGTCTCACTCTTTAGGTTTTATTCAAAACAGTGAACTTTCTCATACATGTTACAAACACTCGAATCTGACAATCATACTGTCACATTCAAATCATTTTCTCAAAAATTTTTTTTTGTGTCTCTGTCTGAACTCAAACTGACATTTTTATGTCACTGATTCATCACTGCTGATAACTTCTAACTCGTAATTAATGTGCTGCTGCTGTTGTCGATTTCTTGCATTCTTAAGAATAACATAAATTTTTTAGAGTAATCAAAAAGAATACAAGTCTGCTGCTCAGTTTTGATGAGACTATCGAAAAGGAATTTGATTTCAGTTAAATTGTGAGACGTCGTGGTATCTGGTTCGTCTGTGAGATACGTCTGTGAGGCTACGTAGCAATATATGGGAAGAACGCATTCCCGCTTGGTCAGAAACTGAGGATTGAAATCTGTCGCTCAAACTAATTCGGTGACTCGAAAGTCTCGCTCTGTGCATGAGGTAGGCTTTTTCATGCCATTTTGACCCCCTTGTAAGCGCTGTACGTATTCAGACGCTGTACAACTTCGCTCACTTAAGTTTGAATTTGGAATTTTTAATATTTTATTTCTCTCAAGAATTTGACAAGTTGAAAAAGTTAAAGAAAGAAAACTAAATAATAATTAGGTCTGAACTAGACCACAAAAAATGTACAAGAATGATCGAAAATAAAAGTTGGTTACAAGTTAACTTTTTGTAACTAAAGAAACAATTATCAATAATGGAAATTAAATTATAACAATTATTGTTTTCGTACCGGAAAACAATAACGGTTAATAATTTCGATCCGAATCTTTTCTCTGAATGATTTGTGCGCTTAAAGTACGAAAGTTGAAATATAGGAAGGATGAGAGTGATGGATGTTTTCTATACAGGGAGTACAGCCATTCGGAGTATAGCAACAACCACACTCCCATTTCCATGGAACGCGTACACAAAAAGGTTCGGGACTGTATTACAAGTTGTTTCTAGTATTCATATAGTTACAAGCTCATCGATCCTTACAGACGGATTAAGATTTCCATGTATTTTCCGCAGTTTTCATGTAACGGGGCCTCCGTGACCGTTACATCTCCTCCCTACCTAGAGAGAGAAGATTCGACCTCGAATCAAACTAGTTCCCAAAAACTGCGAACGTTCACACTATAGAAAAGGTTTTGTTCGCGTTACATAAGACTAGAAATTATCAACTCGGAAACAAACTAGCTATACAATTGACAGTATTTGATGTTTTTATTTTGGCTTTGAAAAAGAGAGAGGAATAAACGAAAAAGAAAGCACGTGAACAATATCGATAAAAGAGTAAAATGGATGAACGGCGCGAAGTGTTGATAAGTGACACATTCATATAAGGTCTTTCTGCTGTCACTTCTTACATAAAACTGAACACACTCTTCACCTTTTCTTATCAAAATATAATTCGTTGCAGCTATTCCGCTAACTTGTAATCTATCGGGAATAATGAACGCAATTTTTTTTTCTTGTTGTTTTATTTTTTTTGTGTTTTACTTCTTAATCTCGACTTATAAAGAAGGAATTCGAAATGGAGAGTAATATGGTCTTAAGCGCTCAACATGTACTACTTCCACCACCCGATTATCAGCTAAGGAAGTTAACTGATAATTTAGGGGTGTAATCTTTTTCGTAATCTTAAATGGTCCAACCCATCGAGGATCCAACTTAGGTGCTTTCCATTTACCGAGTGCACTACCTACTGTGGTAGCCATCATTACAAGATCGCCCAACTCAAAATGCACATCTCTACGATGTCTGTCGTAGGATGATTTTGTTGCTGATTTTGTTGTGCAATTTCTAGACGCTCTCGTACAAAATTAAATGCTGGTAAAAGGTTAGCTGTAAGTCGATCACGATAGACCCGAACATCTCGATCATTGGCTGGATGATCGTCAGATGGATTTATTGAACCAAATAGTACATCTATCGGTAAACGAGGTTCACGACCGAACATCAAGAAGGCAGGAGATTCTCCAGTGCTATCGTTTATCGCCGTCCTTAGAGCGAAAGCCAATTGAGGAAGTTTTACATCCCAGGCACGTTGATCACTTTGAGCGTAAGCTCTTATCATGGTTTTGAGTGTATTATTCACTCGCTCTGATAGATTTGTTTGCGGGTGATATAAGGCAGTTCGGCGATGATTTATTTGGAGAATACGAAGAGTTTCTTCGAATATTTCCGAAATAAATTGCGGACCGTTATCTGAGATGATCTTTACTGGGCATCCAAAACGACAAATGACTTCATCGAGAAGTATTTGTGCAATATGAGTAGAACGCGTGTTTTGCAATGGAAATAATTCCACCCATTTTGTAAAGTAGTCGACGACTACTAAAATGTATGCATTACCTCTTTTTGTAAGAGGTAATGGACCAGTGATAT